GATGTTGCGCAGCAATGCCAGAACTTCTGGCATTTTGTCCGAGACATGCGTTGTGCACGCGGCATCGAGACTACCTAGATCCTCAATGCTGACCAGACGCCGCTTTGGCTGGAGATGCCCGCCACCACGACCGTGGATCAGACGGGCGTACGGTCGGTGCCCATCCGGAGTGCAGGTTACCAAAAGGAGCTTGTGACCGTGATGCTGGCGTGCACGGCGGACGGGGCGAAGCTCAAGCCGTGGGTGTTTTTCAAGCGGAAGACGCTGCCGAAGGGCGACTTTCCTCGGGGTAATAAGCAGCAACTGCCGCTGTTTTACCGTATGTTTTTGTTTGTCATGCCGCGCTAACAGTTTAAGTGCCATTTGTCTGTGCAGATGTGGTCGTGGCTTGCCACGAGAACGGGTGGATGAACGCAGATGGTGTCATCCGCTGGATTGAGGAGGAAGTCAAGTCCTTCTTGAAGCCATGGTTTGGCAGGTGGGCGAGGAGCTCCATGCTCGTGCTGGATTCCTACCGCGGCCACCTTACCGATGGGGTGAAGGACAAGCTCCGCGAGATCAATTGCGTGCCTGCAGTCATCCCGTCGGGCTGTACGGCTGAGGTTCAACCGCTCGACGTCTCCATCAACAAGAGCTTCAAAGCTTCTGTTCGTCAGCAGTACCAGAAGTGGTTTGAGGAGGAGGGGCAAGAGCAGCTGACAGCAGCAGGTACGTTGTTTCCGTTATTCACGCATGCTTAATCCCCCCCTCACCCTTGGATGCTGACACGGCTTTCCCGGGTGTCTCTGTTGTGGTGCAGGGAATCTCAAGAAGCCCCCCCCAAAATTGGTCCTTCGATGGATTTCACGGGCCTGGAAAGCAGTCCCCTCCGACCTCATCAAGCGCGCCTTTCTCACCTGCGGCATTAGCAACGCCCTTGACGGTAGTGAGGACCACCTCGCCATGGCGCACAGGCGGAGCCAGCTGACGGCTGAAGTGGATGTAGACGACCGCATCGTCGCCGACGGCTTCTTTGGCAACAACTGCCAGGAGGCCGAGTCTGACGAGGAGTAATTCTGGTAGCAACTAGGTAGAATAGCGGATCGATTGGAAAGTTGTGTACCAAACTGTAGTGTTTGTCGAAGCGAACGATGTTATAGTTGTTGTTTGCTTTTGTAGTGGTGATAAAAATAGTTTTAAATATAAGGGTGGCGCTTATAATAAGGAAGGGTACAAAGGGGGGGGGGCGCTTATAACCGAGGAACGGCCATAAGCGCCATGCTCCAGATAGAAGCGCCGGCGCCTGTAATATGCCGGCGCCTATATCCGGGGCCATACGGTACCTGATGACCTGCACTCGGCCTGACCTTGCCTACCATCCTAGCATCCTGGCAAGCTACGTTGTGCTCGGGAGACACCGACCAGAGCACTGAGAGGCCGCTAAGAGGGTGTTGCGCTACTTGTACAGTACATTGGGCATGGGGCTCGTGCTTGGAGGACAGGGCCCAGTTGTCCTCACTGGACACGCAGACGCTTCGTGGGTTTACGACTTGGCTACGCCGGGGTCGTCACAGGGTTGCACTTTCAGCCTTGGCTCCGGCTCTATTTCTTGGCGGTCTACCCACTCGTCTTCTTTTCTCAGTTCCAGTTGTGAGGCCGGGATATATGCAGGGGCCATGGCTGCACAGGAGTCACGCTGGCTCACATACCTGCTGACCGACTTGGGAGAGCGGCCTCGTTCTCCTCCAGTTCTGTACTTAGAAAACAAGGCCATGATTGCCTTGTGTTAGGAGCACAGACTGGAGCACAGGACGAAGCACATTGCTCTGCGTTACTTCCTTGCTCGAGAGTAGCGGGGAGCAAATTACCGACGCATGTCGTCGCCAATGAGCGTCGAGAAGTCGAGCAGCCTGCAGGCAAAACATCCACAGAAGAGCGATTTGCAGAAGAGCGATTTGCAGACGAGCTGCCCGCACAAGAAAATGTCAAAAAGGAGCTGCCTGCATTAGAAGAAATTGCCGCAAAAGAGCAACTTGCAGAAGAAGGACCCGCCGACGAAAATCTTCAGGTTTCTCATTATGGTCGAAAGATTCAGAAGCCAATCCAATGACTTCTCTCGACGGCATGCATGAGGATGTCGTGGTCAGCTTCGTCTTGCTTACGTGGCCACTCGGGCCAACACTGCTGATTTACTCACCAAGGCACTTCAGTCTGGTGATCATGAGCGTTTCTTTACTACTTTAGGCCTTCTGCCTGCTTTGTCTCACTTGCTCACTGCGTGACTTTGCTTGTACTGTGATATATATACATATATATATATATACCCGCATGCTTACACTTGCTAGGTGGTGGTCACTGTATTGTTTGTTCTCATTTATATAACTCTGCATGTCAACTGGCCTTGTGGCCATTTGCTTGTGCTCAGAGTGTGTGGTGACTTCATGATCCACCCTGAGCTCGCCTTGCCTTTCTTGACAGGTCTTGTGACCCCTTGTTCTCTCCCACTTTGCCTATGGGTGTGTGTCAAACTATCATGTTGTGTGTGTTGTGTAGGCTGTAGTGGGGTAGCCTATATGGGGTACAACCCAAATTAGGGTTAGTACTTGTATAACTTTCTTACTCAATGCAATAATTCCTGCTTGTTAGATTCTGACAGAGTCCACCGACAATGACGTGGTGGAGGTTCTTGAGAAGAAACGAGGAATGAGAATGACTAAGGGAATGTTGGGTACAAGTACAAACCCTAGAAAACAGTACCCCATATGTGCTACCCCACTATAGCCTACAGCAGCTAAGTCATATAAATTTGACACACCCCCATAGGCAAAGTGGGGGAGAACAAGGGGTCACAAGACCAGTCAAGCAAAGCAAAGCAAGCTCAGGGTGGATCACAAAGTCACCACACATTCCGAGCACAAGTTCAAGGCCACAAGGCCAGTTCACATGCAGGATTACATATATGTTTATATAAGGCTAGACAAGCAAGAGCAGGAGTATATATATATGTAACAGTACAAACAAGGTCAACGGGTGAGCAAGTGAGGCAAGGCAGGTACAAGACCCAACTGAGTACAGAAGCGCTGATGATCACAAGGCGCAAGTGCCTTGGTGAAGATATCCGCAGTGTTGGCCTCAGAGGCCACGTACGCAAGGCGCAGCTGACCACGCTGCTGTAGCTCACGAGCAAGGAAGTAGCGAAGAGCAATGTGCTTCGTTCTGTGCTCGAGTCTCTGCTCCCGACACAAGGACAGCATGGCCTTGTTGTCTACGTACAGGACTGGAGGAGAACAAGGCGGCTCTCCGAGGTCAGTCAGCAGGTAGGTGAGCCAGCGAAGCTCCTGTGCAGCCATGGCCCCGGCGTAGATCTCAGCCTCACAACTGGAGCCGAGAACAGAAGACGAGCGGGTAGCTCGCCATGAAACAGAGCTGGAACCAAGGCTGAAGGTGTAACCCTGTGACGACCGCTGCGTAGCCTGGTCGTCAGCCCAAGAAGCGTCTACGTGCCCAGTGAGGACCACTGGACTCTACCCTCCAAGCACAAGCCCCATGCCCGAAGTACTGCACAAGTAGCGCAACATCCTCTTCGCTGCAGCCATGTGCTCCGGTCTGTGTCTCCCAGGAGCAACATAGCGTGCGAGAATGCTAAGAGGGTATGCAAGGTCAGGTCGTGTGCAGGTCATTAGGTACATGAGGCAGCCAACAAGCTCTGGGTACGGGCCACTCGACTCTACGGACTCATCCGAAGGCAGAGCTGAGAGCGAGTGGCGAGTAGGCAGAGGAGTGGCCTGAGGCAAGGAGTACGTGAAGCCGAAGCGCTGAAGGACCTGCTGCACCATGTGTGACTAAGTCAGGGTAATGGTGTGGCGTGCTCTCTCCCGGGTGATCTGCAAGCCAAGGTAGCTGCGCAGTTCACCCAGGTTTGTGCACGTGTGTCTCTTCTGCAGCTCAGACTTCACGTGGGCGAGTCCAGCAGTGTCAGCTGTGGCAAAGACCAAGTCGTCGACGTATACGAGGATGTAGAACCGCGGCAAAGAAGTGTTGGTGCGCAGAAATAGTGACGGGTCGGCAGTAGAGGGAGCAAACCCAAGAGCCGCAAGTGTAGTCCTCAGTGTGTCGTGCCACTCACGCGGTGCTTGGCGGAGACCGTAGATCTGGCTGCGTCGCCCACCTGGCTTCACTGGGTCTTTTCCTCCTGGAACCCAGTGGAGCCTCCGGCGGCCAGTCTACGGAATGAGAATGACTAAGAGAAAGTTGGGTACAAGTACAAACCCTAGAAAGCTGTACCCTATATGTGCTACCCCACTATAGCCTACTGCAACTATGTCATATAAATCTGACAGTTCCGGTCGAGAAGCCTGTGTTGCGACGAACTCGGAAGCCGCCGGAGCGGCTGGTCTTCCACGCCTGCCTGCAGCCAGCTTCGTTCACCACACTGCATGACGATGCATAGGCGGATGTTAACCTTCCGTAGCTCGACCCCATCGTGCATGCCAACCCCGAACATTGCTGGGCCTCTTGGGAAGACCTTGGGTATTTGGAAATTGCAATGGAAATTATCAGACACTATGGCCTTTCCCTCAGCTCAACAGAAACCAAGACCACGCCTTGGACAAGAGAGGGTTGCTCGATAAAGCATCACTAGTGAGAAATTAGTTCTATCCAGCTACCATTCCAAGTAACCACTCTGAAGCTTTCATGTAGGTAGGCAGCAGCTCGAGACAAACAAGTCTGTCCTCGGTAGTTTCATGCTAGCCATACCCAAAAAACGCGGATGCCCCCAAAAATACCACGCTTTCAAAAGGTTGTCACACCTGCTGAGAGCCACCCCTTCAGCAGGATGCCATTAACTGTGAGATATATATGACATAGTTTGTTTGTTTGTTTGTTTGTTTGTTTTTTGTTTTTTGTTTTTTTTTTAATATGTGAAAGCTTATACCAGGGGTGTACAAGCAAAACACTTCAGTCGTAACTGATGCACCGGGCTCGAGCTGACGGGACCCGCCTAGCCCTCCCCGCGAACTCTACGGTGGTTTCACAAAGGTCTTCGGGTTCGACCAGGTAGACTGGAACCTTCCTTGCCACTTCAGCCCCACCACCTCATCGACACAAATCCGCCGCATGACACGTGCCTCATCCCCCGCCAAGTTCCACCGCACCTTATCCTTCCGTGCCTGCCTGCTTGGTTTGCCTGAGTAAATTCTTGCATGTTTGTTAAACTCCACATTGATCTTCCGGAGCACATTCCATACCTGGAACCTCTTCACCTTCCGTAGCGACACCTCACACCTACCCAACCAGATCTGGTGCATCGCCACTGCCACCATAGTTGCCTCGGGGAAACCAGACTTCGTTTCTTCCGCGCCAAACACTAAGTCTGCCACCTTGTCAACCTGCCTAGCTGGTTGCATCATGTTGAGCGCCGATTTAACAGCCCCAACCACTGGCGCCACACACCTGCAGTCAAGCAAGCAGTGTTTCAGCGACTCCTCCATCCCGCAGTTCGGACACGTCACTCCCCCTTTCACGAAAGAAACCCTCTCTCCCACTTGCAGATTGAGATTTTGCACACGAAGCACCACATCTCTTGTTCTGGCCGGGGTCACCAGCAAATCACGGACACTTCTTCCCCCTTCCCAGTCGATTTTCCTGCCCGCTCGGGCCTCCCAACTTGCCCTTTTTGCCTCCACAGCCTCCACTCCCTTGCTCGGCTCCCTGAGCTTCCTCAGCGGGGCCACTTCCTCCTCTGCAAACAGTGACGAGCTCAGAAGCCTTGTCATTGGGTCTCCAACCTCTCTTACTGCTCGGGCACCGGACAACCTCACCGGTATCACACTATCACAGCACAGCGCCACCTTCACATCCCACGCAGAGCGCTCCCCCTTGCCGTTTAGCCCCCTAAGCTCCACCTTCCTGCCTAACTTGCCGCAGATCTCCCAGAGGCACCTCTTCCCACCCGGGAGTTTAGTACACACCACCAACGATTCAGCCGCTACCTCCTCTGCCGTCAAAGGTGCCAACACCCACTGACGCCACTGCTCCAGCGCTGCTCGAAACGCCTTCAACGCCATCTCCGCCTCCTTTTTCCCTCCCAGTTCCCTGGCAAGTGTCTCTTCTGACTTTAGTACTGTTGTGCCGTCCCATTTCCGCATCACCATGTCGCGCATCTTCCACTTCCGCAGCTTCTCCGTTCCTTTCTGTCCTCCAAAGGGAGCGTCCCCTCGGTGTATGATATGCTTATTGTAGCACAGAAACTCCTCTTCCGCTTCCCATCTTGACGCCACTTCCGGCACCTTCACCACCGTGGATTTCAAGATCGTCTTACGCAGCCGCGCCCACCTTCTGCTCTTGAACAAACCCCCACGCAATATCGCCTTATGCGCGTAAAGCGTCGCCCAGCCTTGCGGTAAGCCTGCCGCCCGTTCCGACAGCCCCCGCCTGAGCGGACATTCTTGTTGCAGCACCAATCCAGCACATCGCAGGGCCACACTGTCAATGCGCCCCTGCGGGTCTACCACTCCTAAACCCCCTTGCTCCCTCGGTGTATACATCAGATCCCCGCTCCAGAGCCTGAAGTGTCGTTCCGTATCTGCATGGCTACCGGAGACGAAGTTCTCGACCAACTTTTCCACCCTCTTCCACAACAGATCATCTTGCGGGTAAACTTGTGCTTGAAATAGAAAGATTGGCAGCCTCCAGGTCCACGTCCACGTCCAAGTCCACGTCCACGTCCACGTCCTCCACGTCCACGTCCACGTCCACCTCCACGTCCACGTCCAAGTCCACGTCCACGTCCAGGTCCACGTCCACGTCCTCCACGTCCACGTCCACGTCCACGTCCTCCACGTCCACGTCCATTTAAGTCCACGACCACGTCCCCCACCACACTCACCGTTGACCTCCTCGAGGAGCGCCTCCTAACAGCTGAGAAGAGTATAGTCGCTGTAGGAGCCTCTCGTGGTGACCCTCGTGCCCCCTTCTTTGAGGGGTGCCCCCCCTCCCCCCTTTTGCCCTCTGTTGCCTCTGCTGCTACGGTCGACCTCGTTGGCACCGAGTCGGTCGGCGCTGCGTCTGCCCCTAGCGGGAGACGCCGCAACGGCAAGGGCAAGGGGGTAAGGGCGCTGAAGGAGCTGGCGGGGGCGGTGAAGGTGGCGGTGGAGGTGGCGGTGGAGGCGGCGGAGAGGGTGGGGGTGGTGGTGGGAGTGGTGGCGGGGGTGGGGGCTTCGGTGGCGGCGGTGGCGGTGGGAGCGGAGGAGGCGGCAGTGGAGGCGGTGGCGGCGGCGGCGGTGGAGCTGGTCGGGGTGGCTCTGTGCAGCGGGGCGGCTTCGGTGGTGGTCAGCGCCAGCAGCAGCAGTGCGTTCGTGAGACCCCGCCCCCCCAACAGCTTCGTGAGTGGTACGCTGCGCATCAGCGGGGTGGGGGTGTTGGTCCCTGTGCCTACGTCCTGCGTACCGGTGACCGCACTAGTGCGCCGTGCGGTGGCCTGCACACCACCCAGCGCTGCTTCGGCCGCCTGGCGTCTCCAGTTCCCTGACGCCACTGAGATCCCTCGCTGGGGCGAGCTGCTTAGGTCTGGGGTTGCCATCTTTGATCTTGATTATGATGCTATTCTTGCTGCCATGTATGGTGTGTCTACTAGTAATGAGGGTGACTGTTACCTGTGTGTTCCGCCTGGCCCAGGCATTGCGGCTGCTGCTCTAGGTGCTAGTGAGGCAGCTACTCTAGGTGCTGGTGAGGCTGGTGCTCTAGGTGCTAGTGCGTCTGCTGCCCCAGGTGCTGGTGAGTCTGCTCTCTCAGGTACCACGTCGGCTCAGGCCTTACACACCTTCACCCTTGACTCGGGTGCTTCCCGCTCCTTCTTTCAAGACCGCACCACACTCACGCCGCTTAGTCGGCCAGTTGCGGTCTCCTTGGCTGACCCCTCTGGGGGTCCTGTCCTTGCCCACTTCTCCACTGTCTTACCGTGTCCGGCGGCCCCTTCTGTGCGGAGATAACTGCTGCAACGGGAGCTAGGCTACGGGCTAGACACGGGTGCTCGTGTGATCTCTGCGTTCTCTGTTCCTTAGTCGTTTCCTTGTGTTCACGCTTCTTGCTAGTTCACAGGGAGAATTGGCAAGAGTTTCACTAGGAAAAGTTCAGAACAATGGTACAATAAAGTTGGCATAGCAATACTACATCAGAGCAAGCATTCAGGTCGGCCAACTGCTAGCGCAGCTTGGTCGACCGCGTTCCAGCACGACTTGGTCGACCGCGCTCCAGCAAGGCAAGGTCGACAGTGTGCCAACGTCGCAGGTTGACGGTGTGCCAGCGTTGCTCACGCAAGACAGCAGTGCACCCGCGTTGCAGGTGCGCGCAGATGTTTGGTGTGCAGAGTCTTGTCACCTGCACAGCGTACACACCGCGTCAACCTCGTGCTGACGACTCCTTCTGATCGGCCACGTCGACCTCGGGATACTACCACCGAGGTCGGGCTCGCCAACTTCACCTGGGCGACCATCGCACTCCTCCGCAGCACTTCGTCACCCAGGTAACCTGGTCGGCCGGGCAACCATGTCGACCAGCAGCTCCCGTACGTGCCCGTCGACCTCCCAAGTCGACGACCACCTCCATCGGTCGACCTCCTCCAGGTCGACGTCCCTTCTGGTCGACCAGCTCCACATCGACCAGCTCCCCGTCGACCAGTACTCCTGGTCGACCTGCCCCTCATCGACCAGCACAGTCGTCGGCCGACCACCCACGTCGGCCACCCGAAGTTGGCGTCACTAAGTTGACGCCCCGCTACTCGACGCCCAACTGCTCGGCATCCTGAGTCAAGGTCGACGTCGGCCTCTCCTCCGTCGACCACCAGGTCCAGTCGACCACCAACAGGTCGACCAGAAGGCCTGGTCGACCAACCACCAGGTCGACCAGCAGTCCGTCAGCCGACCACCGAAGTCGGCTTCACCAAGTTGACGTCACCAAGTTGACGTCCTCCGCAGATCGACTCCCAAGTCGACCTCCCCAAAGTTGGCGCCACCCTGAAGTCGGTGCCCGTGCAGTGGTCCCCGTGCAGGTCAACCTCCTTGTCAACCAGCTCGCCCACTGCTGCAGGTCGGCTGCTCCCCTCACACCCGACCACGATGTCGGTTCTGCCCAAGCGAGGACGGGGCCAACATATAACTCCCGTTGACACTCCCGTGCCGCGTTCACGCTTGGGCCCCCAGCCCACACGGCAGTACAGCTCCGAGAATAGACCGTCGTCGTGCACCCAACACACAGCACATCGGTCACCGCACCAGCCATGCAAGAGGGCATGACACCTACTGCTGCACGTCGTTGTCGCCGTCGCCCACGTCGGCCAAGCGCACCTGGCCGATTGCGACGGAGCACCGGTTGAAGGCCGAATAGTGCAGCGCCTTCGTCAGGAAGTCGGCTGGCTGCTCAGCGGTTGGAGCGAGAACTTCCCACGCTTCACCATGTGCTGCAGCCAGGCCTGTCGCCGCTCCATGTGCTTGAGGTTGCCTGTCAACCCCATGCCCTCGGCGACCGTGATGGCCGACTTGTTGTCCACGCGCAGAACGGTCGGCTTCCTGGCGTCCAGCTGCCGGAACTCGGCGAGGAGGAAACGAAGGCGGCATCCCTCCTTGCCAGCTTCAGTGGCCGCCGCGTACTCTGACTCGGTCGACGACAAAGTCGCGCACTTGATGCGCTGGCTCGACCAGGACACCGCGGCCCCTCCGTAGACGAACACGTAGCCGCCCGTGCTCGTCCTGTTCTGCTTGTCACCGGCGTCGTTGGCGTCTACGTAGCCGACCAGCTCCAGCGACACAGGTCCACCGCCGAACTCCAGGGCGGTGTCACGTGTGTTGGCGAGGTAGGCGAGGCAGCGGTCGACCTCGCACCAATGCTGGTCGCTCCTCACCGTGAGGCCGCTCCCCAGCTTGCTGCAGGCGAAGGCGATGTCCGGCCTTCGTCGTCGCCGCGAACTGCAGCGAGCCGACCTTCTGCCGGTACTCCTCCTCCTGCCATTCCTGCGCCTCCTCGTCGTCGAAGGTAAGCTTGGCGTATGCGTCGACCGAGACCGGCGTCTTCGGGGAGCGCCCGGTCTGCTCCTCGTCGAGGAAGCGCCTACGCAGCTTGTCGACGTAGCCCTGCTGGTGGAGCCACAGCTTCCACGCCGACCTGTCGCGCACGATCTCCAGCCCGAGGTACTTCTGCACCGGCGAGATCTCGCGCAGCTCGAAGGCGGCTTCCAGCAGCTCCTTCAGCATCGCGGCACTGCTGCTGGCGGCAAGCAGGTCGTCGACGTAGACCAGCACCCAGCAGGCCACGCCACCCTCGCCGACCTTGAAGTAGAGAGCCTCGTCGACCTGGCTCTTCTTCCACCCGGCGCCGACCAGCAAATCGTTGAGCGCCAAGTACCACAATAGCGGCGACTGCTTCAGCCCGTACAGGCTCTTCAGCAGCTTGCACACCCGGCCGGTTCCGTCGTTGAAGTAGTCCAGCTGGGACATGTATAACACCCGATTGAGCTTGCTCTGTAGGAAGGCGTTCTTCATGCCGAGCTGCATCAGGTCAAGGTCGAGGACGGCGACGATGCTGAGTAAGATCCTCAGCGTGACGTAGCTGCTCACCGGCGCGAACGTCTCGTCGTAGTCAGCGCCGTACACCTGTGTGAAGCCCTTCACGACCAGCCTCGCCTTCTCGCGCTCGACGGTGTCGTCAACGTGGTACTTCGTCGTCAACACCCACCGGTTCTTCATGACGTTCACCCCCGGCGGGCGTTCGACCAGCTCCCAAGTGCCCATGTTGATGAGGCTGCAAATCTCCTTCTCCATAGCGGCCTTCACCGCCGGGCCCTTCGAGCTTGCCAATGCTTCTTTCACCGTCATCGTCGAGATGTCCCAACGGTGCTCGGGGTCGGCTAGCATGTCGGGGTCAAGCTCTGGAAACTCCTCATCCTCCTCGGCGTCGTCGTACAGCAGGTCGTCGCCATCATCGTCCACGTCGTACACCGTGGTGAAGGCAGCGGGGACGAAGAAGTCAGGCGGCCTCCGAAGTCGGCCTGAACGCCGTGGTCCCGGCTGGACCTCCTCGGCGTCCCCTCCATCGTTGCTATCGTCGCTGCCCTCGGCGTCCTGCTGCTCCTCAGCCGGCGTCCCTGCCGACTGCTCCCCTGGGGTCGGCTCCCCTGCCGACTGCCCGGTCGCCGATTGCTCCGTAGTCGGCTTCACGGCTGCCTGCTCCCTTGTCGACCGCTGCTCCTTGACCTGCTTCTCGACCTGCTCCTCCCCTGTTTACGTCGACTGCAAACCTACGTCGTCCTGCCGCTCGTCACGTTGGCCACCGGTGATGCACTTGGCCGAAGGCGACGGCCCACTACCCCCCTCATTGCCGGAGGCCGACACCGAGGCCAGCCCACGCAGGTCGGCCACGAGGGGAGGGGCAGGGGTCGTAGGGGGAGGGGTAGGGGTGCGGACGTCCTCGACGTCCGCAGTAGCAAGCTCACCGACCTCGGCAAGCAGTGGCAGCGTCGCCGACTGTTGTGTGATGCAACCATATGCATTCACGT